AAGACGTGAAACAAGGAAATAATTCGAACCTTTAAAGCAGAATTAAATCCGTCTAACATATTCAACCATTGTTTTGTGAATTTTGATTGTGCGGAAAGGCGACGAGCTTCAGCTTCAATTTCGCGCTGAGTTTTAAATATTGAAGTGACTCTAAAAGATAAAAATGCAACGTTGAAACCGATCAAATTTATGCTTATAATATGAAACAGAATTGTAAAAAACCAAAAGAAAGGTGTTTAAACCATCAAAGACTACACATACCTTTCATTTAATGTATCCGCCAAAGCAATCAGTTAATTCACCTACAGCCTGTGTAGCTTCTTTTCTAAGTTGCTCTGTAAGGTTAAAATTTTCACGTTAAAATACCGGTACGATTATTAAACATGTCTGGAATATAATGGGTATAACGAGCATATATACCATTATTACGTCTTATAACTTGTTTTTGATTATGTTCTCTTACTAGCCTGGAGAGCATAACAGATTAAAGGCTAAGTTTGAATGGGCGGTAGCTAAATCGCAATATCATGTAATTACTAAGGTATTTCAGTTATGTTACTTGATCTTTAATTTTAACTTTTAAGAATAAGCATAACATTCTTTAAGTAATCTTGTAAATTGTTTGGTTGTTAAATTCTGTAAATAATCGTACTCTTATTTGATAGACTTCCAGCTTATTGCAAATATATTGTCATCACCGAAATTCTATACCACATTATCCTTGAAGAAATCATCTGGGCCAGTACCAGTTAATAAGACGTAGGTCCAATAGAATCATGTTTATAATTCCAAGTGTTATTGTCACCAGTATCAAAACAACCGGTGCTACCACCTCTTAATTTTTGTCACTAATTCCAAAATATGGGTAATTGAGAATGCAGATTAATAAGTAAGAATCTGGATTTGTAACCATAATGTGTGTCCCCAGTTGCCATTTTTCTTTAGACCGCTTGCTAATAACTAAGATGTCATAATAAGAATAATTTGTACATTATAATTTCTTTAAGCGTTTAAGCTTTGGTTTTTATATTCACCTACCTCGCATATAAGTAAGTGTTGTAACCAACCTTATCTCAAGTTATGTCCTTGAAACAACTTTAACGAACTAATAAAGAGGCTTAACTGTCTGCAGCTACACTAAGCCTTTTGTATTGTGATTATACATACCGTAGAAACTATTTCGGCATTATATGAAAATACTATTTCGGAAATAACTCAGAAAAAATTTTTTACAGTACATTAAAAATCAATGCCGAAATACTTTTGGCAAAACCGAAATAGTTTCTTACGGCATGTATAATTGTGACTGTTGTTTTCCATGACTCATCTTTCTCATTGGCTTTCGGCCGACAAGCCTCATGCGCCATCCAAGCCTTTAAAAGTTTAAAGTTGAGGCGCGGTTTGTCTTGATTATTGGGAAATATCACTTTTAGTCCGTAACACAAACAATTATAACGATAAAAAAATTATTTTGATTGAAATTGATTTATTATTAATTAAATACTTTGAAGCCGTAAACTTAGGATTTTATATGTTTATATTCTAACCTATCATGTATTCAACGGATTTCAAGTCGGAATTTTGGGGATCCTCCTACAAAAGATTATATATACCGGATGGATAAAAAGTCCCCGGATAGGACCTTTTTTACTACGTATCTCCATTAATGTGGAATTTTATAATTATTTATTATATCTAAAGAATACTAGCAGTATAAACGATCAGATGAACATATCAGCGATTAAAAAAAGGTTTTGGCCACGGACGATGGATAGATATACATAAAGTGGATAAACCCAAAACTTATCAGTATTGATTCTTCTTCTATAGACTTGCTCCTATTTAAATTAATAAAAAATTATTTAAACTTGACATTATAAAGTAGTCGAACAAAAACGTTCCTAGTTACCTTCATTTTACAGTATAATTTAATATTGTCCAATAAACGGTAGGAATATTTTGCCTTTTAAGCAAAGTCCGATCTTTTAGGTTCTTTTGCATAGTGAATATTGTTATTATGTTGAAGCTAATAAACGACATAGGCGGTGATTTTTTGGTAGTGAAACGTTACTTTCTGTTAGTGAAACGTTACGTTCTCAAAAGCACATATGCTTGGCACTTAGCTTGGCAAGCTGCCTATGTGGTACTGTACTACTATGACTAATCGGTCAAGCTGGTTTAATATTTTCTAAACCGATGATATGTTAATCGACTAAACGTTTTCTCAACCATTTCTCAACTGAAATTTAATAGTTCGGTTACCAGATCATTGTCAAATCGGTTCAAATCACAGCGATCCCAAGTAGATCAAAAGCAAGTATTTTTTAGATTTTTTGACGGTCATTTAGGGTTTTTTGTTTCACTTGATTGCATTTTATTGGTCAATAAAAATGCAAATCGGTTAGGGGTTAGCAGGTACAGTACACGAAATAAAACATTTGTTTTTATATGGATTAAAAGGTTGTAGATCATACCGTTCTTTTTTTTTTATCGTTATGCACCAGATGAATTAATGTGGAAAATTAACACTTATGAAACAACGTAAATTAATTATCGTCGTTACGACTTTGGTACTTAGTATATTAGGTTTAATTAGCTTTAATCAACGAACAAATGTTGTTAAACCTAATGAACCTAATGAACCTAATGAATCTAAAGAATTTACAAAACCCTCAACAACATCAACACCAAATATATCAGCAACTTTATCGCCATTACCCCCTATAGAAGATAAATGGAGTATTTGGCCACCAGACCTTCGTAAGTTATATTTAATTAATTGTAAATTAGATGTATTAAATCAGTCTTTATATTATTATATTATTATTATATTTATTCTATATGATTATTATTATTAATTCTATATTAAATTTTTTCATTATCGAACCAATTTTTAAAGGTTATGCAATATGTAAACCGAAAATATATATATATAAAATCCCAAGCAACATTCAAATTAGTGATTCAAAAAAACTACGATGTACATTCTCAAAACATAATGTAGAAATAATATTATTCGATCAACTTTCCAAAATAAATTCAACACTTAATAGTTTATATGTTACAGAAAATCCTGAAGAAGCGGATTTATTTTATATTCCATTTTTTGGAAGTTGTTATTTATTTAATTGTTGGATAAATAACAATTGGAATAAAACTGAAAAATGTCAAGTTGATTCAATATATTTAGAACCATTAATGAATTATATTATTCAAAATTTTCCTTATTGGAATAGAACTAATGGAATAGATCATTTTATAATACATCCAATGGATAATACTGATGATTATTATGAGAAAAAAGATATTTTTCATAATGCAATTTATTTAACAACAAGTGGTGATAAACGAAATTTAAGAAATCAAAAATTTAGAAGATATAGGAATATAGTTATACCAAATACTACACCAATATTAAATATTTATAATCTAAATCCTAACGATTATACTGATAGAGTATCCATTCGGGACATTAAAGGGATTTTTAGAGGATGTTGTGCGAATGTTAATGTAACAGATGATTATTCTGGTATTAGACATGTAATATTTAATGGATTAAAAGGATTACCTGGTTGGGATATCGAAGAAAAATCATCAAGTATAGATGAATACGCTTATTTACTTGCAAGAGCAAAATATGGATTGGCACCATCTGGATGGATGTTAGACCCTATTCCTATATGGGAATATTTTGCATTTGGAGTGGTTCCTGTTGTAATTGCAGATGGGATTATTGAACCTTTTGAAGATGATATGGATTGGGATTCTATGATTGTTAGGATTCGACGTAGTGAGGCACTTATAATTAATGAAATATTGGATGCAATTTCAGAAGATGAGTACGTAAAAAAACGGGAGAGAGTTTCGTTGATTGGAAAGAACATGGTGATTAATTACGGTTATACTTGGCACTATATCGTTAGAAACTTTTGTAGAATGTTAAAAATTGTTAAGCACGAAATTATAGATATTGAAGGATATGATTATCAATCTATTTGATTTTATGCACATAAAATCATTTGCGTTATAATATTCATATTCAGTGATTTCCGGTAGATTTATCATAACTGTTTATTAACAAAACTATAGTACTCTATTGCATAATGTAATACATTTTTGAAGTTAGAAATTCTATCAATAACTAATCTTAAATCTAATTAATTTCATAGATAGTAGAACACATCGAAGATGGTCAACGCATATATATTTTTATAGGATTAGTTTAGAAGTTAGAATAAGATTAAGTTTTTTTGGAGGGCGTAGAGAATTTTACTTAGATCATTGAATACCAATTACTTAGTCGTAAAATAAAATAAATAAAATTTTTCATAAATTTTTTTTATCTCAATTAAAGTATTACTGTAAAGTTGATCACTATGGTATCCTTCTATCTAAATAATATCAGTCACAATCAAGGGCATGTCGAATTATCAACACATTTTAACCAATCAAATCATAAATTTTACGAAACAAAGTACGTAATGGTAAGAAATGAGGTCTAAACTTAGACCCAATAAGAATTTTGGTGAGGAATTTTTTTTCATAATCACAAATTAATTAGATTCTTATACAGTAATCCTAATTCAATTGCATATTTCCAATAGAGGAACTGAAAAGTGATCATTAATACGTATTAGTTATGAGGTGGCAGACGAACTCAGTTTCAAAGAAAAATTGGCAATGAAGTAAAACAATAAAAACATAAAAAGCGTTGAATTTTGTTGTAAAATTCTTGCGCTATCTTGAAAGCCAACACTTTTTGATATAATTCTTCTCCGGATATTGTTGATCATGCTTGAGTATTATAAAATTATAGAAATTTGAGTTTGAGCCGTTTAATCTAGAGTTTGGAGCCGGTTTTAATCGGTTTGAATATATATAATCGAGGTCGATTTATCGTTATAAACAAGATATGTATTTATAGAAACGACTAAATATATAGTTAAATATCAATCAGTGCTTTTTATAAATTAAGGAGACGCTACCAAAGTTGATAAAAAAAACAATGAATGAGACAATGCCCATATCATTTAATTATTTTTATCACAGGGCTAAGTCATAACCGTCTTAAATTCTCCTGGATGATGATAAAAAGCTTGATTAACCTGATAATAATTTAATCAATTTTAATAATCATTTTAATTCTGCATTTAGAAAGATCCAAATTGGTTAGATTGTTACGTTTAAGTTTATATAAAAATTCTAATAAAACCGTTTTGACTAAATTTCTATTAATTTTCTCATATTACGATCATGTCAATTAACTTTTTGCCAATCGGCACTATTGCATATAAATTCCATGCAAGGAAGAATGCAAGAGATTCTCATTATAGTGACATCATCGAACGATTTCCATTATTCATTATAACGTAGGGGTGAACTTGTAATACTTATATTCGATTATAAATAGCAGCTGTTCAGATTTAAATATAAAATTTATTTACAAAGAAAATTCTAGAATTTATAAATAAATAAATCGTGCTTTTAAAAAATTTTTAATATTATAATTACAATTCAACAACAGCAAAAATAAAAACGATTGATAAAGAAACAAAAACGGTAAACAAACTGTTTTGTAAATCAAATTTAGCACTATTTGATTTTGCTACATCGTTAGGTAAGATACCGTTACCATAGGTTGTTGGTACATATTGTATCCCATTATAATTAGCAACAACACTAAACGGATTCAAGTTTGGACTACCTTGGTCATAAAAATCCACAGCAATAAAATTTGGGAATTGATTAAAAATAGTAGTACAATTTTGAGCATGTTTTTGAAGACTAGCACTATTTGTTAGATTTGCAGTGCTTCGAGTTGGAAGTTCAATGTCTAATGATCCAGATTTCACATCGGTGTAAAGAAAATGATTTAACATGTATATTGGACGACGCTGGTCTTTAGGACGGTCAACTGTGCATTGCCAAGCGTTAGAATTAGAATTATCATACGGAGTTTCGAATACATATGAGTATTCTGGCATTAACCTATAAATAATATATATATGTATTACAATTAGAATTTGGATTAATCCACATTAAAATTAAACGTACAAAAAAAATATGTATAATGCGTTTGTACCATGGCACAGTATTAGTATCAGCGCCTGAATCAAGAAAGTTAATAACACGTTTTCTTGAACTAATAATACTAGACATTGTAGGCCATCTTGAACCAAGTGGCTGAGTATAACAATACTGAGTTAACCCAGCTTTATCAAAAGCAGTTTTGAAATTAGCTGCTGTAAGATTACTAAAAAAATTTCTCCAAAAGATTGTAATAATATCATTTGGATTATTTTGTAAAAATACTGTAATATTTTGTAATGTATCGGCGGCAGTTCCTGCATCCAATAATTCACAAGAAGTATGACAAAGTTCTATATCTGATTTTGTTGGATCTGGGTTTTTAAGAACAGCAAGAAGAAAAACACGAACGCCATCTTTTAATTGTGTTGAAATATTGTAATGTTGGTTTGCCGCAATAGCGTTTCCGTAAGCATAAGAATTATGCGTTGCTACAAATGATACGGAGGAATAAGGTTTGTTACAAAGTTCAGCGTAACCATTACAAAGTTGTTGCGCATTCGCCCAACTAATAATTATTATTATAGTGAAAAGCAATGGAATTATGTATGATAACTTCATCATTAACAAAATTAAATCGCAGTTTGCGAAGAATGGTGAGAGTCAAGTAGAGAAGTTTTAAATTTCTAAATATATACTATTTTTAAAACTATGCCAAGACTACCTAAATCTTGGCGTGTTGTCATTCTTTGATTTCTAAATACAGACATTGATATTTTTATGCAATATAATATAAATGTTTATTATTAGGATTGATGTATATAGTAGTTAAATAAAGGTTCGATTCGCCAAGATGCTTAAACATATCACAATACCCCTGATTGCATACAATCAAAAAGATCTGATTCATTAAGACGTATAATTATATGAAATGTGATATCCATTTTTTTTAAGTCACCTTGTTTGGTGCAAACCGATATTCGCCGGTTAACACCGCATAGCCGTACTTTACAGTATTATTTCGAGGGATACTAGACGGTATAGGGTTAAGATACCATGTTAGATAATGATCTGCATCATTAAAGTAACCATTAAAGTACCGTATTTATCCGCCATATGTACCCTGCAGCAGTTTCGAAGGCCAATTTTTGATTTATACCCGGTATATAAGTATGGGAGTATCATACTTATGTACCAGGGCATATAATAGTAAAACAACTAAAAACATAGAAGTATTCGTACAGTATACCCCCCCTACACGCGTACCCCGGGTACTAAAATGGGCTAGGGAAATATCCCGGATAAATACGGTAACCATTCAACCATCTTTGACTCGACCTTCATCCTGTCGTACTTAAGTACGAGTTGCATTATAAATGATGTTGCGTTGTCAAAAGCCACTTAGATTGAAAATACAATACCCGGTTGCTTATCGT